GGGAAAGGATTTCTGTTGCAGAGGAAAGAGGGTTTTTTTTGGTCCAGATACAATTCTAGTTGTGCTTGGGAAAATTTCTGTAACTCAGCACTTTTCTTAATTTGCTTTACATCAGCTTGTTTTTTCTGAGTGTTCTGGAGTCCAAAAGGGGACTTCATATGTAAGAGTTGTTGCCATATGTAATATCTCCTGTTTCCCCATTTTTTTAGTCTTTTGGGACATATGTCCTGATAATCCCTCCTGCTCCAAATGCTGGGAAACTTTAGAGTCACATTCAAGTGTTCTAAGACAGATTCATTGTGGAAATCTGGTTTAGTAAATAGAAAAATAGTGAACATATTTATCATCCCTTCCCCTGGCAGGGGTTGGAACCAGATGGTTTTTAAGGGGCCATCCAACCCAAACCATTTTATGAGTCTGTGTTTTGTGTAAGATCCATGCACTTTGTGGCATTTCTAAATTTTAAAATTTAGTGTTGGGCAGATCTTGAAATGCAGTGTATCCAGTTCATTTTACTTAGAAATACATATTTATGTGTAGAGCTATATTAGATAGGCCTGGGGTTTGTTTTGAGGTTTTTTTAACCCTTTTTTGAGGAATTTTTGTCATTTCTGCTTTCACATAGGGTGTGACAATGTCAAGCCCCTTCACAGTCGCAGGGATAAATTTGCATGATATGAGAATGCCCTGAGCTGCATCTTAATGAAACCATTTCAACCCTCTGACCAAAGAGTGGGGTCTGGTTGGACAAGTTGCTGACCAAGAAGAAAGCAAACTCCCCAGCCTGCCCCTGGTGTAACCACACGTGCTGCAGGAAAGCTCGAGGAAGAGCAGGGGCAGGGCTGAAGTTTATCCCAAAATATTCAGCTTTGCCTTCCCTCCGCCTCTTACAAATCAATTTTCCTGGGCAAATGTCATGCAGGTGTTACCTGGAGAAGCTCCCCTGGCCTGTGCTGTGGGAGGAGGATTTTCCTCAGGATTTTCCTCAGCTCCTCCTGGGTGTTTGATTGCTGCACACCCAGAGCAGAGCAGCGTTGCTGGGGTGCCTGGCCGGTGTTGTTTCAGTCACACGGGCTCTGGGAAGCACATCCCTTCCCCCAGCCTAGGTGCAGAGATCCTATTATTTCTGATAATTGATGCTGAGGGCTGTGGCGTGCCTCATTTAATCAGCACTGCTCAGCACACTCCAGGGATGTAATTCATGCAGGCTTCCACCTCCAACATGGCTGGTGAGGCTCGGACACGCAGCCGAGCGGCCACAGCAGCTTTTAATCAGCTAGCTGAGGAGTGTTTATCTCATCAGCAAAGAGCAGAGGTGGCATTAGCACATCTGGAATGCCTCACTGCAGCACTGCAGGCAGGTTTGCAGGGTTAGACTGTACATGTGGACACTCTCCCAGGAATAAAAGCGTGTTTCTGCGTATCAAAATGTCAAAAAGAACTGAATTGGAGCGGGTTGAAAAGGGTTAATGCGGTGTTTTGTTGACTGTAGTATCCTGAGCATCCTTAGAGAGCTTCCCAGGTAACAAAAAGATGTGTCCTCAGATCACACTTGGGTTTAAGCCCTTCCTACAAACACCCCCTGCATTTGGAAATAATGCTACGTGATCACAGTGGTAGCAAACATATTTACTACAGACTAATCAAAACTAGGCAGGACAAGCAGATTCATTAGCAGAGAATAAATAGCAGCCCTATTAAAGAAATCAAACACAGAAATTCTGTCTGTTAGGGGCTGCTCGCAGCTGTAAAGTTATTGCCTGAGCAAATACAAAGAGAGGTGGTAATTGGGAGTGATTAAGTTTAATTGATTCCCAGTTCCTCCATATCTTAACAAAAGGCTGTCCTGAAGCCTCCTATACCAACATACCTCTTCTCACTCTGAGATGTGCAGGTGTAAAAGCTCCTTTTACACAAATTGGGACAGTGCAGCTCACAGGGAGCGCTCAGAAGGGTCAGCAAAGGGATGATCTGTGTCCCCAGATCCAGCTGGATGTCCTGCCCGAGCTGCAGCTGCCACCACCACTCTGGTCAGGGACAAGGAAAACTTCTCCACTGAAAGGTGCTCAGGCATCAGAACAGGTGCCCAGGGCAGTGCTGGGTCACCATCCCTGGAGGTGTTCAGAATCAGAGTAAATGTGGCATTTTCTCGTGTGGCTTAGTGGCCATGGTGGTGTTTCTTCAGATGCTGGGCTTGATGGGGCACCCTGGACCGTCAGTATCCCAGGAACAATACTGTTTGCCACTTCAGTCAAAGTTAAATTCAGTACTGGGAAGTTGTTAACTGCATTCCAGATGTTTGAGAAAGCTCGCCTGGTTTTTTTTTCCTGGAATCTTTAGTTAGAAATACCTCTTGGTGGTGTTTTTGGAAGAAAACACACTTCCAGAAACTTCTTCAAACTCAATCTGCCTTGAAGATTTTTTTTCATCAGGGTGTTGTGCTGTTAGATAATGAAGTATTTCTTACATCATTTTATTGGTAACCAAGTTGGGGTTTATTTAATTAAGCATATATATGATATAGAAAATAGATCTGGATAATAAACACAGATGTAGATATATAGGGAGATCTAGATGATATGGATGATATGGATATAGATTATAGATATACACAGATACAGATATACATGATATGAATATAGATATAGATTATATAGATACAGATATGGATATAGATATAGATATAGATATAGATATAGATATAGATATAGATATAGATATAGATATAGATATAGATATCTCTGGAGCTGGCAACAAGAGCTTTTGCTGGGTTAACTGTGGGAGCAGGAAGTGAACCCAGAGCAGACAAACTGAATATCCTGGGAAATAATTCAGAGACAAAGCAGGCAGATAATAACCTGCAGGGCCTGTTCCAGCAGTTGTGGGTAACTCCAGTGTGTAATTCCAGAGGCAGGCAGGGTAGGATGGCTCTGCTCTCCCTGGCACATCAATCACCCTGCAGAGGCTTTGCTTTGCAGTGTCCAAACCCTTATTGAATCCTCAAAGGCAGGAGAGCACCTGGAGGAAGCAGGCAGGAGCCTAATCAATGCTAAAGGATGCACGTGGATGGATCAGGAGCTCAGCATCTCTATGGATAAAGTCTATTTGTTTAAAGGGAAGGGAAAGGCCTGACACTCAACACATTAAAATGGATTATTTCATCAATAGGTTAATAGAAAAGCAGGCTGCAGGTTCACTCCTGCTCGCACAAACGTGCCATTAAAGTGTGAAAAATGGGAAAGACACTGGGAAAGGGTCTCTGTGCACTGGAGACCATCTTCCTTTTCAGAGGGGTGCCAAACCTCGATTTTGCCTATTTATATGTAAATGTTTCAGAGGAAAAACAAGTTTTCTGCAGGGCAATTGTGCCTCTCTAGTGTGGAGACTTCTTAAATAGGCCTTAAAATGAAGGGGTTTTTCCAGCTTGAAGGATGCACCCAATGAAGGCACTTCAGGATTTGATGATGTCACTCAGAATCCAGTCCTCATTTTCTGTATGGAGCATTAAAGCCTGCTGATGGCTTTATTCAAATCATACCTAGCTTAAGTCAGGGTGCAGTCAAGAGGCAGTGCTCTTCCAGCTTTAATTCTTCTGCTGAAAATGGAGCTTTTTGTTAAAGCCTGGAATGACTTGGTGTTCCTTTTCCCTGGGAGCAGCTGTTCCATCTGAGTTCTGTGGGGCATTACAGAAACTCCCTCATAAATATCGATGGAAATTTTTAAAATTCTCATTTCCTGCTCCTGGCTCTGTTTTGGGGCGTTGATGACATCCTAAAGAGTGATGACATCTGTGGTGGGAGGGAGAAGGCTCTGAGGTCCCTTAGAAGACTTTTGAGTCCAACCACCAACTCAGTACCATCATGTTCACCCCTAAACCCTGTCCCGCATCCAAATGTCATTTACACACTCCCAGACATGGTAATTCCAGCAGTTCCCTGTTATTCCAGTCGCTGTCGGGTGTCCTGACGCACTCGGATGTTTCATCTGGTTCCTGTGTGATGAAACCCAGCCTAACCAAAGTGTTCTAAAGATTCTAAAGAAGGTAAAAATGTGCTCTCCCCTAATGAGCCCAGGAACAGAGCGCTTTTGAGCCAGATTTTCTGATAATTGTGAAGCAGAGGATCTCAAAGTTTGGGTCAATTCTAATAAAACAAAGGTGTTGCTATTCTCTGTAAAGGGTAGACATCTTTTTTTCCCTCTTTCTAAATAAACACTTAAACTTTGCAGTGGGGGAGGAATTTTAGAGGAGCTTAGGATAGTGGAAAATACCCCTGCCCACAGGTGGGACAAGATGGACTTTAAGGTCCCTTCCAACCCAAACCATTTTGGGATTTTATGACTCTACTTCCTCTGAGCTCAGTGCTACAAAGAACATTCGTTGGTACAAGGATTTAAGGTCATTACATCATCATCTCAGTTTCTAAAGGTGATGATGTGAAAAGGAGGCTTAAGGGTGAACTCCAGGCACCAAGTGATCCCCACAGGCTTTTGGAGGAAAAGGAGCTCTTGTCTGGCTGTGTTTTGTCTTGAATTAAATCACATTTTACAGTAGCTGTTTCATCCAGTCCTGTATCTTCTGCACAAATACTTCCTGCCCTTTTTTTTTTTCCTTTTTTTTTTCTTCTTTTTTTTTTTTTTAACTTCTGCTGGTCTGTTTTGTCTATTCCAATAGCAGATCCATTTAATCTTGTCAAATTGTGTCATGTTGACTGAAAGAAGAATCACTCTGAATGACTGAATCAGAGGTTTTCCACATTGGCCCTGGATTGCAGGGGCTGAGTGGTCCTTGTGTGCATTTTCTCTGTGTGTGAACAGGCTCGTGCTTGTATTTTACTTTACATGCTTTTTGATGTTTCTTTTCTCCCTTTTTTCATTGAAAAAAAAAAAAAAACAATTTTTGTTTTTTTCTTCCTCCCCCTTCTTTTTTCTTTATTTTTATTCTCTTTTTTTTGTTGTTTTTTTTTCTCTCTCTCTCTTCCCCTCCTGCTCTCTGGACGCAGCCAAACGCAAAGCTTGGAAACTAAACCGTGTTGGTAGCCTGCGAAATATTTACAGCAGCAGCAGCACCAACACCGAAGGTAACAAACACACCCGTCCCAGACAAACACCTCCTCTCTCCCCACCTTTTTTAACCCACTTCTCCAAAATTTCACCCTCCTTGCCTCTCTCTCCCTCTCCCCCTGGAAATGAGATTTGCCCCAAGCATGCGTGTTTGTTTCCACCCCGTGTTTGCAGAGTCATTCCACTTGGTCTTTTCATCTTTCTGTTGGTGCCTTTTATTTTGCCATTCATGTTCCTTTCAGCTTACTTAAATTTTGACCTTTCCCTCTAGTCGTGGAGTGCTGATGTTTAAATTACTTCAGGAATCCATTTTCTCCCTTTATTTTATTTTTTTTTTAAGAGATACATATATATATATATATTTTCCCTTTCTCCATGTGGGCACAATGTAATATTTCCCAAGTTATTACCGTTTTTAAAAGTGTTAGTATCAGGTGTAATGATCTGTAGCCAAATACAATAGTGTGCCATGACATTTAAGTAACAATCTTAATTTGTTTTGTGCAAGCCTTCTCCATAATGCTCTTTGCAGCTCTAATCCAGAGGCGAGACAGTGCCGGGTCATTTGCATGTGCTACTCTTGCTTGTAAATTCTGGATATTGTTGTATTTCTAAAGGTCACCCGGTGCCAAAGTTCACAAATTGACTTACATTGCTTTTTTTTTTTCCCCCACCCAAGACAGCCATCATGCCTTTTGTATAATAGCACATGGAATTTTATGTATTTATTTCCCCCCCTCCCCTCTCCACCTTCATTTGAGCAACACAATTATAAACTCCCTTTTTTTTTTTTTTTAATACATATATATTTTTATTATTATTACAAATGTCAAAGGTCAGAATGACTCAGAAACCAAGCAAGGAGGAGAGGGGGGAGGGAAAAAAAACAACCCACCACCACCATCTCCAGCAGCATGGAAGAGGGATGGTGTAAGGAACAGGGAATGCAAAATAGGTCACAACTCAGTAATCTCGCTATCAGGGAGGGGGATTTTTTTTTTCTCTTCACTTAAGTGCGAACCAAATGGGTCAAGTAATCGCGAGCGCATGCCCTAACACTAATTGACTTATTTTGGAATGATTATAACTGTAATATTTTTCTTAATGTCACTGTTTTCTGGGCTGTTGATTTTAGTGATTGCCAAGCGGTGGCATTAAATCTCTTGTAAATTTTAAATTGCATGCTATTTCTGTAAACAAGTCCCTCTGTTCACATCCTGATCATTAACCTTTGGTGATTTATATCACCGTCCTTTTTTTGCACAATTACAGCCCAGGCTGCTGGCAGGGGCCTGGCTCTCCCTGCCAAAGTGTGCACGGGAAACAAAAGTGGGGTTTTTATTCCAGCTTGTTAAGACAGCTTATTTTATTTTGTTTTAAGTATAATCTTATTTCATTTTTCAGCCTAAGTGTAAAATTATTGCCTTTCAGAGCTCCTGATTTGGCTGGTTTGATCCTTTTGTTGTCTTTTCAAATACGTAATGCAAAATATGAAAAGACAAAGTGACTGTCAGATATTCATAAGTTTTGTCTTTTTTGTCCACATACACACTTCAATAATTTTAAATTTTCTATATGCTGTTTATACCTCCCAGCCCAATTTTTGCTTTGATCAGGTATGTTTGTTGTTACAGGTTTAGTGCTTGAGAAGCCTGTGATTTTTTATCTACCTGTTAATTAGCTTCAGCAGAGGAACAAATACATGGAATTCCCTTGTGTTTTACAGATCAACTTTTTTTAGGACTTGTCTAATTTAAGGAGTCTTCTATCTTACTAATCAAACCTAGTGCTGAAGGCACCTTGGTATGGAAACGTGGTCCTGCTGGCCATGGCCCAAAAAGTTTTGAGACGTAGCATCAAAATGAAATTCTAAAATTGGGCAAATGTATCATTTTTTTGGATGTTTTATTCCCCCCCCAGCACCAAAAGCTGGAGGTTCGATGTTCATAGCTTTGAGCTGGAATGGTGAGACATGCAAATGTGGAGTTAATGAGCATTGTAAGTATTAAAAACCACATGTTTAGATAATTATGCCTTCAAAAAAGAGAACGATGATGGGAAATGACAGTCCAGAATAACAAATCTGCTTTGGTCCTTGGCACACGCTTGCTCAGTTGCACTCACACCTATTTCCACACCAAAAGCTTTTCTGTCAGGTTCAGCCCAGGTTTGAAAAGCTCTTCCATCATTTTTAGCAGCCTCCTGAGGATGCAGCCTCCTGCTATCTGTGTGTTTAGGGCTTGTGTGTGTGCTGCCAGGTGGGCACATCTCAGGTGGAGCTGGACAAAAAAACTGGCAGGGATATATCTGAGATGCCTGTTTAGATTCTGCTCGGAAATGTCACCCTTCTAGTTTCTTACTACTCATTGCCCAGCATTTCTTCAACATGTATATCAATGTCCACACTAAAAAGGCAAAAGATACGGGTTCTGCTCTAGCCTTTGCACCATGGACTGTCCAGTCAAGCAGCATTAGTGCTGCAAAAGAGAATGTGAGGTTTGCCATGCAGGCAGGATTTGAAGTATATTCTCCTGGCACATGTAGATTTTCCTGCCAATGCTTCAGAAAATACATGAGAGCAACCATATAGCCAGAGGAACATTGTTTTCATACTATTTTTCTAATTTTTTTCTAATATTTCTCTAATTTCTAACTGCCCAGGTGCTGCAGTTGTGCTGGGGGAGATGATGGTGATGCCTTTTTTAGCCTGAAAACAGAGGCCAGACAAAATTCAGAGAATGAATCTGTTAAATTTATTGAAGGGCCTTCAGGTACATTTAGGGCAGGCAAAGCCCCCTCCAGTGACTACTCCCAAAAAAGGGATGATGGGTTTTCACAATTTTATAAGTTTGGTCTATTTGCATATTGGGAGTTAATCTTCCAATTACAGCTAGGGGTAATTAAGTCATTTACGCCAAGTTTGCTGCCCCCAGCTCACTTTTGTTTGCATCTCTCAGGTCCTGAGGCAGTGAGGTGTCCTCGACTGCCAGGCCTGGAGAGGAATTGTTGTGTCTGACCAAAATGGGAATAACTAATAGTTAAAGTAAATAATAGTAAAATAGCTATCACTGTATATGGAGTTCAGAGTTACACCCTAAAGAACTGCAGGATTACAAATATATGGAAAATAGGGAAGCTAAAATCCTACCGCCTCAATGGTCCCTAGTGTGGGGGGACTCTGTGCTTGAGCTTCCCCATCAGAGGGGCTGCTCTCTCCTGGCTGTCTCACAACAAAAATAATGTTTTGTCTGGGATTTTCACCAGGTGTGGGATCCCAGCTGAAGGACCCAACCTTCTGAGGGTGTTGGAGAATCCCTGAGGATGGAAAAGCTCTCCAGGGCCATTGAGTGCAGCCCGTGCCCGATGCCCACCTTGTCACCAGCCCAGAGCAGCCACATCCAGGCCTTCCTTGGGCACCTCCAGGGATGGGCACTGCACTCCAAGGCCTGACCCCACTTTCCATGGAGAAATTCCTGCTGCTCTCCCCCCCTGAGCCTCCCCTGGCCCAGCCTGGGGCTGTTCCCTCTCCTCCTGTCCCTGTTCCCTGGGAGCAGAGCCCAACCTCCACCTTGCCCCAAAATTTCAGAGTTACCTCCTCCATCAGTTCTATCTCATTACAAGAAATCTTTCTTTCATTTCAGAGTTTGCCTAAACTTTTTAGTTGTCAAATTTTGGGGTTTTTTTCCATAGGAAGCCACTGACAAATGAGAAAGTCCCAGGTGCTCCCTATTGCAGGAAGCCAGGCTCGAAGCAATCCTTTGCTTCTTTAGGGGGAAAAATAGGTTTTGCTCAAAAAAAAAAACCACTCTGGTTTTAAGAGTAGCTGTTATCATGGCAGTATTATTAAAATACAGAATCACTTCTTCTATATCAACAAATTTAAGGCCAGGTTGGCCTGTCTTGAAGAAACCTGGGATAGTGGAAGGTGTCCCATGGCAGGGGGTGGAACTGGATGATCTTTATGGTCCCTTCCAACCCAAACCATTCTGTGATTTTCTGATTTTGCAGCACAGCAGGAAGGATTGTCTTTAAAGAATTAAATGCCTGTGCTCTGCATGCATAAAGATATTAAATCCCAATTTTTCCCATCCTCATTGTTGCATGTGTAATTTTGGTTGGATTTGCTGGGCACTGAGGGAAAACTTTTTTGTTTGAAAAAACAAAATACTTTTGGTTCAAAGTGATGCTCTTGCTGCCATGGTGCTGTGCCCATGCAGGAAGTTAATCCAGTCTGTCTAAACTGAATTTTAAAAAATTTTTAACTTGTGCTGTCTTGGCACCCAAATAAAACATTGAGCCCATGAAGCAGAGGGCTTCATTGCCTTCAGCCTTTCAGCAGTACTGAGATAAACGTGATATAAAACAGAATAAAACTCTTGCAGTGGAACACAACCTTTACCAAGAGCTGTGGGCAAGCGATAGCAGAGCTCCATTGTCCTGATAGGGTTGATTTTCAAAACTAATTAGATTTAGACACTGGGTTTGGAAAGGGGATAGAAGTATTAGCATAGCCATGCCCAGTGGGACATGGCACAAATATTTCCTTAATTGAGGCTGCTAATAAACATACTTATCTGCCAAGTGAGGGGGGTAATTCACACCCAGTGGCAAAAGGTAACGCGACCTAACACGCGTGGCACGTAAATAACATGTTGTAAACAAATTGTGTGTTGTAAACAACTCCTGTTGCTTGCCAGGGCACCCCAGCAGCTCTTCCCTCTCCTCCTTTTGAAAGGATGAAGGGTTATGGTGCTCGAGCAGAAGAGATTTTCAGGAGAGGGAGGAGGAGGTGATAAAAAAGGAGCTTAAATAGGTCTGGGTGTTACTTGAGGCAGGCTTGGCTGGGATTCAGGCTGTAACCTCAGCTCTTGAAGGTGCTTCAGGAGCATTTGAAACACGTCCTCGAGGGGGTTTTGGTGCTGCACTTGACTTCTTGTTCCTGGGAAGTGTTTCCTGTGTGAGTGGCACCACCCTCCAGATGCGCGTGATGAGTTACTGTTAATTAGCAGCAGCAGCCTCTGCTATCAGACAGCTGTGTTGGGCAGAGATCCAAATACACAGCCTGGTTGGCCTGGAAGGCAGAAGATCTTAATCCTGGTTCTGGCAAAATATTCATAAATGCCTCTTAGAAATACCTTAATATTTATTTGTTTAAAAGCCAACTTTTAGGATGGGTGTGATTTCTGCAGGGCAGAAAGGAGCCCTTGCCTCCTGTTGACTTTCTGTGCTGAAAGGTTGGACCGGGTGATCCTTGAGGTCCCTTTCAACCTGATCTTCTGGGATTTTGTGACTGAACTGTGCCCATCACTGGTGCAAAGTGTCAGTGGTTATTCATGCAGTTCTTAACATTGAGAGTAAAATAGGTGGGGAGTGGAAATGGAGACCAAGCTGATTTGTGCACATGATTTAGAACCATTCCTGAGAGATACCAAGAGGTGTGAGTGCTTCTGGACATGTTTCCCCTGCATTCCACAGACTTAAAATGGAGTTCTCTGGAACAAGTTACGGACTAATTGTATCCTGTGGTAATTTTCAGTGTGGTTTTCTAAACCTGATCTCAGTCCCACATCACAAACACGTGGGATGGAGAAAGGCAGTGAGGCCCTGCCCTGAACATTTGTTTTTTCTTCCACAATCCGTTGCTCCTAAGAAATTTTATCTCTCTGTTTTCCAGAAGTGGGTGGGCTTGTGGCAGTGTCTGTTTTTTTGACAGAGCAGAATAAACATGAACTTGGGTTAAATGCAGTTGACTATGGAAAGATGATGGTGAGAAGAGTGCTGGAATCCCAGAATTGTTGGAAGGGACCTTAAAGCCCATCTCATTCCACCCCCTGCCATGGGCAGGGACACCTTCCACTATCCCAGGTTGCTCCAAGCACCATCCAACTTGGCCTGGAACATTTCCAAGGATGGGGCAGCCACAGCTGGGCACCCTAAAATTCACTGATTCCATGCCAGCTTCCACTAAAAGAAAAAAAAAATCTCTTGTTCTTTTCCTTCCATATCATCACAATGTCACAGTTTTGGTTTATTTCCCATCCCAGCCACCCTTCCCTCTTCAAAAAAAAACAAGCAAAGCAAACAACAACAGCATTTTAGACATCTCCTGTTGATAATAGCTACCAAATGGAAGTCGGTGGCAGCTGGTTCTTCACACTTTAACCCTTCCTCTGCTGCCCTTCCAGGAAATAATTGATGACTGATTGGCCCATTAACCTTTTTTCCTTAAAAAAAAAAAAAAGTTTGACAGCCTGGACTTGCGTAATGAGGAGGGATTCTTGGTGAAATCAGGCTGATGGCTGAGTTGCTTGCCCCTGAGGATGCAAAATTAGCCCCACGAGACCTCGTCTGCATAGAAACTGGACACAATTAGTGTAATATCCGGTGTTATTAATGTAGTTTGGAGTAATTGGGCAGGTTGATTTCGACAGGTTGATGGTGCTAAAATACTATTATAGTGGACCTTTCCATGAATAACTGTTAAACATGGAAAACTGTTTAATAAAATTTTGTGATTGGGCTCACAGGGATTTAAATAGCACAACCTATAATTGACTGAAGAGTAAAAGTGAACAACTTCATCCTCCTGCCTGGATTTTCCTGTTCCTGCATGCTGTGCTTAAGGACGTACAGGAACAGGTTTGTTCCTTGTCTTCTGAAGGAATTGCCCTGGAGGTGATGTGGAGCAGGCACTGCTGCTTTGTTTCACAGTTGAGCTTGAGGGAAAAAAAAAAATATTGGTGTGTTTAAGCAGAAAAAATTAGGGAAGATGTCTTCAACCAGCACAGCTTTTTGGGGAGTAAATCTGAAGCTTCAGTGGATGTAGAATCATGGAATTATTAAGGTTAGAATTATTAGAAAAGGCCTACAAGACCATCAAGTGCAGCAGTTAATCCAGCACTGCCACATTCACCACTAATCCATGTCCCCAGGAGTCACATTTACAAATCTTTTAAAGCCCTCCAGGGATGGGCACTCCAAACCTGCCTGGGCAGCCCCTGCCAAGGCCTGACCCCTCTTTCCATGGAGAAATTTCTGCTGCTGTCCCCCTGAGCCTCCCCTGGCCCAGCCTGAGGCCGTTCCCTCTCCTCCTGTCCCTGTTCCCTGGGAGCACAGCCTCACCCCCCCTCGCTGTCCCCTCCTGGCAGGGACTTGTGCAGAGCCAGAAGGGCCCCCTGAGCCTCCTTTGCTCCAGGCTGAGCCCCTTTCCCAGCTCCCTCAGCCTCTCCTGGGGCTCCAGCCCCTTCCCCAGCTCATTTTTCTTCTCTGGACCTCAAAATATCCTTCCAGCCCCACCTGAAAACGTGCTGCAGCTCTCCTGGGCTTATTTCTCCTGGGCAGACCAGCTCCATGCATGTGTTATCAGCTTTATTAAGGAGATCAGAGGATTCAGTGGTGCTGCAGAGACGTTAACTGCATTGTCCTACAGGAGACAGTGCACAAGACTGAATGTAACTTCATTTATTGTGGAGTAGTTCCTCTTAGATCTTCCTCATGAATCCCTGAAAGCTCTCCTTGACAGAAGAGGCTTTGTCCATGATTTATTCACGGTGTTTTGGGTAATGTTTGTACCTGCCTGTTTGGAACACAGTGTTGCTAAAATGGAACAGTTGCAGCTGTGCAGTTGCATCATTCATCTTTGACCCAAGTGAACGACATGGAGCTGTGTCAGGGGGGTTTGGGTTGGAGAGCAGGGCAAGGTTCTTCCCCCAGAGGCTGCTGGCACTGCCCAGGCTCCCCAGGGAATGGGCACAGCCCCGAGGCTGCCAGAGCTCCAGGGGCTCCCAGGGATGCCCAGGGTGGGACTGTTGGGGTGTCTGGGCAGGGCCAGGGCTTGGACTTTGATCCTTCTGGATCCCTTCCAACTCCGGATGTTCCATGATTTCTTTTCCCACTTATCCCATACCCTGTTCTATATCAGGTGCCTTCCTGCACTTGAAAATAGCCTTCAGCTCCATATTTATCCCCACCTCAAGGTGCCAAGTCACTCCTGCTGTTTTTGAGGCATCCCTGGAGCGGTGCAGGCGCTGGCCTTGCTGACATGGAGCTTATCCAAGAAAACCCCTTGTCCCACAGCTTGGGAACACAACTGCCAGCAGGCAGCAGTGCTGTCTTTAAATCTGGTGCTGGATTCGTCCCTGATCTTTGCATGTTTATGGATGATGAGGGAACACAGTAGTGTCATGGCTCTGAATATATAATAACTCATTATCGGACAAAATGTTCTTTCTGAAGCTCATTATGGCTGATGTTCCCCAGAATTTTGTGCTCTATTCTTTTCCTTTCATGCTTCATGCCAGCCCTTCCCAATTGCACTTTCTCTGTTTCAGCTTCCTTGATTTTTTTTAATTTGGCATTGGTGTCCCATGTGTAGGTGGGGTGTGTGTGTCCATTTATTTCAGTTCTGCTGCTATTTCCATGTGCTGCTTCTCTGGCCTGAATACTTGTCCTTATCCTCCAGTAGCCCTAAGGATATTTCACTGACCCTCTCTCCTGGCTTGTCAGATCATTTTCTCATCTCCCATGTCGGATGTGGATGTTGAATAGGTTGAACTGATTTTCATCCTGTATTATAGCCCAGTATTATTATTAGTAGTAGTAGTATTATCCCAGTATTTATGATGTAGAAGAGAAAATGTCCACATCTGCTTTAATATATCTGTGCTTGTAAAAACTGGCTGAAAGAAGATGGTAAATTGATACATTTTCTCTATTGTCAGCTCCTTGTGGTTTGTTCACCTTTTATTTTGTGGCACCCTTTGATTTTTACATTATGCAGCTTTTAGCATCTCAGGTTTAAATTTCAGTTATGTTTGTTGGCCATTTTATGTTTGATTAAGGTACAGGCTCAATTCCAAACTCACAAACACAGGGATTTACCCAAAACAGTGCTTTATCTGCACTGCATTTGAAGAGAAAAAGCAGTGGATCCTGGTTGTTTCCTGGTGCACTGCACAGGGCAGGATCCAGCCTCAAACCTTGTGTCCAGACCTGCACTTACAGGATTTGCACAATCCCAGAACTGTTTGGATTGGAAGGGACCTTCAAGATCATCCAGTTCCACCCCCTGCCATGGGCAGGGACACCTCCCACTGTCCCAGGCTGCTCCAAGCCCTGTCCAACCTGGCCTGGGACACTGCCAGGGATCCAGGGGCAGCCACAGCTTCTCTGGGCACCCTGTGCCAGGGCCTGCCCACCCTCCCAGGGAGGCATTTATCCCCAATATCCCATCTAAATCTGCCCTCCTTCAGCTTGAAACCATTGTGTAACTGAAGTTCTCTGCAACCAAGGTTGTTTCAGCTACTTTTCACTATCCTTAACTTAATCTTTTCTTCCTATTGCATTTCTTTATTTTTTTTCCCCCCAGAGCAAGAAGAAAACTTTGAGTTTATCATCGTCTCTCTCACGGGCCAGACTTGGCACTTTGAAGCAACCACCTACGAAGAGAGGGACGCGTGGGTCCAAGCCATAGAGAGCCAGATCCTGGCCAGTTTACAGTCCTGTGAGAGCAGCAAGAACAAGGTATGGAGCACAGAGTCACAGTGGCCACATGGGAGAGGTGATGATTAGGATGACAGCAAATTGTGCATTTTAAGCTCCTCAAGATGTGTGTGTGTGTTACCCCCACAGCTGAGCAGGGTTGGAGCTTTCTGAAGGAAGAACATGGTCTGGGAGGAGCAGCTTTCCCCCTTGGAATGCTTTCCTTTGATGACAGAAGGAATTTGCTCACCTTTCCTGTCAAAACAAATGTTTAACATCTGAGATGTCTTCAACCAATGCTCATTTTGGGGAGAATTTCTGTCGTGAGTGCAGGTGTCTGTAAATACTTCACAGGAGAGAGCAAGGTGCTGAGTGGTGATTGAGGGAGAGAAATGGCCAATAATTGTCCAGAACTGTAGATCCTTTAATATTACCCACCTAACAGTTGTCTTTCATGATTTTATACTGCAAGGAAGAGACTCATATTTTTAAATGAATGCCTGCTTTCATTGCCCTGGTGTGCCAGAGGAGATCAAACACCAGTAATTACCATCATCATAACACAATTTACTTCCCATTTTGTGTTAAAAAATGGGTTTATTTCCAAAATATATTCCTGAGATGGAGGAAAATCACAGCTTACATGCTTCTTGCTCTGCATGGGTTCACACATTCTGATATGTGTGTGTTATCAGAGCACAGAAGGGGAAGTTTGTACATTAACACCTACATAAAAAGATAAATACAAAAGGTTAAAGAGTGGCTGGGCAATGGCTCAGAGAGGATTTTCTCACTGGGTTCTCAAGGCATGTCAGAAGAACTGGCTGGAACAGCGAAGGGCAGTTGGCTGGACAGGTTTAGCAGGTGCTTAAATCACACCTCAGGGAGCCCTCAGGGCAGTTTAGTTGGGTGGAGCAGAAGTGCATCAGGACATCAGGAGAGTCTCCCCAAGCAGAGGTCATGAGCAGGTCATCGTGGGGAGCATTTAAACCGGTAAAATCTGACCTTTGGATGATGAAAAAGTTCCAGCCACTTCTGCAAACCATCCCTTAGTCTTCATTAGCACAAGCACACACATCAATAAAAGAAATTGATCTTGTAAAATAATATTCTTGTCTCATTTATCTCAAGAAGCAAACCTACAGTGTGGCTGCTGCTCTTGGGAAGAGCAGGGTTCATTCTCAAGCTCGATTTCCCTCTGTCAGAATCCAGGCTGGAGACCCCAAAAGCCAAAGGATTGCTGTTCCTTGAGAGGCAAATCAAGACTTGAGGTTCCTTGACCGTATTGATTTGACCTTGGGCTGAGCTTTGGGGTTTGCTGTTCATTCAGCTGACAGTTGTGTCATTTGGGGTTTTTGGGTTCTTGCTTGCTGCTCGTTGATGTCTTTGCCTCCCCACAGTCGCGCCTGACGAGCCAGAACGAGGCCATGGCCCTGCAGTCCATCAGGAACATCAGAGGCAACTCCCACTGCGTGGACTGCGAGGCACAGAGTGAGTACAGCCAGCTGACTCCAGCTCTGACCTCTTCTCCTTGGCCAGCACTGGGGGAACACCAGCCCTGGCCTCCCTGCTGGGACATCCCTCTGCCACATGTCTGCTTCCTCAAGGAGTTTGCTTGATTCATGCTCAATATCTGCCACATCAAGTGCATCCTAATTTTTTTCCCCTCGTTCCACGTTGAATGTCAGCATTTCTGTACTTCCCTTCAAAGAAAAGGCAGAAAGTTTGCTGTTTGACATCAGTCCCTTCCATTTCCCTCCTGTTTTCCATGGTGAGGGCACACATGCCATGGTAATATTTTCAAAGAGCCAGAGCTTGATTGCTGTTTTTAGGGTTTGGTTTTTTTAGGCTTGCTTGTCAGAAGAAACCAAAGTCATTGCTCATTATATCTGGATACTAGAAAACTGATTTCGGATTTTTTTTATTTTTTTTTCCTTCCCCTTTGTGTTTCTTTCCCCCTTTCTTTTTTATTTTTTAAAACATATACTTAGTGTTCAGAAGAGTGTTCTCAGGAATACTTTGAGCTGTGCTTCACCTCACTAACCCCGACTGAGGCCATTATTCTGGTGCTTTTTAGTTCCAGGGGTTTGCAACAAAGCCACAGAAAGGAAGTTCTCTTGCTCTAAAGCAATTAGTTGTAGGAGCTGAAGGACTGAGAACTTGTGCATTTTTATTTCTTTGATATTTGGAAGTCAGAACTTTCCTTGCAATTTTTAGACCTGCTTAAAATGGAAAAAATATTCATTTATTTTTCTTCAGGTGTGAATTTTATCTTTAAGGATTGGCTGCTTGGGATTTTGGCTCCTGGTCTAAGCCATTATGACACCCCAGTGTAAAAAGAACATTTGTACACAAGTGCAGGTGCTTCTGCACCAATAATTTGGTCTCTGCTTTCACTCTAAGTGATTCAGCACATGCTAAGCCAGGGAAAAGCTTGGTTTGAGCAGTATTTTAACACCTGGAGCCCAAAGCGAGTCTTATTTATTAGTGTGCTTTCATAGTGACCTGGCAGTCATTGAGATTTCCCCCAAAGCTTTGATGCAGCTCAGGAGGAAGGCAGGAAGGGTGGTGTGCTGTGGGTGAGGAGGAGGGGGTCTGGGAGTGACCTATATGGATATTTAGCTCATTTGAAGTACTCACTGCTGCCTCTGAGCTGCCCACGGTGGGAGTGGTGTTGAGTCCTGCTCCACTCTGGGTGGCATTTTCCTAGCCTTGCTAACTAGATACAAATTTATAAAATACACAAATATATTCTGTTTTTATAGCTATACATTTATGAGGGATTATATTATATATCTGTACGATGCAGTCCCTTCAGTGCAGACAACTTCCACACCCACAACATCCTTCTGGTGCATCTCAGCTCTACCCAGACTCCACACTATGCCCAAGGCTTGTGTTCCCCTCCCCAGCCATGCACATATCCCAGGATTTATGCAGCCAGGCTGGATGTTTAATCAGGAAAATACTTATGCAAGAAAGCAGCACTCTTTTTTTTTTTTGCTTTTTGGGTTTTTTTCTCCCCCCCAAACCAATCTGGTTTTCAGCCAGATTGCTCATGGGTCAAGCTGGCCCCCATGTGTGGTGCCAGCAGCAGGGATGTGCCAGGAACATGTTCTGGGAGAGGGCAGAGTGGGACAGCCCATTTTGGCAACACTCTGTCATGTAGCTTTTAGGGGGGGATGATTCTGGAATCTCAGCTGGACTTGTTTGTATTCTCAGAGATGATTTAAACCCTCTTTGACTCCTCTTGCTGTTTGACCTTCCTGATTTTAAAGCCACTGTCATTCCTTTGGAAAAAAATGTGAGATATTTCCAAAGTGATGGATCTTAAAATGTGAACACACACACACACACAGGAGGTGAACCTCAGCCTGCTGATTTTTCTGCTGGGCTTTGCTTTATTTTATTCCCTTGCCTCCCTTCCTGCCTTGCCAGGTCCTTACCCTGAAGCTCTTAACATCACAAACCCCAGCCCTCCACACCGTGGAGCTCTCACGTTGTTCACATCTCCACAGAGCCAGATGTTTGGGAGCACAGGAGTGTGAGATGTTGCCATCCCTCAGCTCTATTCAGGAGCCATCAATCTTGCACTTCAGAAGTCTCATTCCTCCTCTTTCTGGAGCTCTTTGCCTTTCGAGCACTCGATGCAGCACTTCTGTTTCATCGGGGAATTCTGCCTTGTTGGATGTTAATCCAACTGTGTGCTGCCAGAATCCCAGCCCTTTGGCAGCCTCCAGCTAAAATTATCCAGTATTCTCCTTCTAACATTCCCATCCCTGAGCGAGAGAAGAGGCAAGGTGCTCTTTAGGAGCTGGAATTTGTGCCCAAGATCTGATTTCATGTTTCAAAAGGAAACTGGTGCTGCCTTTTCCCAAAGCAGCGGAGTCCCAGTGCTGGCTTTGTCTGAAGAAGCCTCCCAAGGTGATTCAATTGTTTAGGCAAACAGCTGAATTTTTGGATTTTGGCTCTGCCAGAGGATAAATATGAGTCACTTACTTCAAGATTTCTGGAGAACATGGAATATCAGGTCTTCAGTGTCGTAGAGTAAAATAGGGAGGGTTTAAAAACATGGATTCTCATCCTGAGTTTTCCTGTCTAGGAGTCTGATCACTGACTCTGGTGTATTTTGTATTTGGAAACCAAACACTGAGATTTAAATTTGGGCAATCTTGTCTTACCCGTCATATAATTAAATTTTTCATGAAGAATAGAAAAAAAAAAAAACCTCTCAAAGAATAGGAGAGTTGCAAACTTTTCTCTCTCTTCTGCTGCATCTCAAGATGCCTTCACCCCTGCTTCTTCTTTCCCTGGCTCTTCTGCTCCTCCTTCCAGCAATTTCCCCTGCTCAGCCCAGGGATATCTTACAGCTGCTGACCTCAGGAAGGTTCAGCCTTTCATCAGCCTCCTTGGATCCAAAGGGATGAAGGAGAGAGTGGGGAGGGGTTATTCTCCTAAGAGGCCACAAAGTTCCAAATGGTGAAGCTGATTGAGGTGTGAGTCAAAGTGGGGAAGAGGTTTTCAGGGAAGGAGTGAGCCAAGCGTGTTTCAGAATATGAACAGCTGAAAACTGTAATCTGGATATATTCAGTGGTGCTAAAAAGCTCATTTTTTATTTGACCAGTTTTAAGTAAAGCACCTCTAGCTGCATTAGAGTGGGCTTTTTCTTCCTTTTACCATCAAACCTTGATGTCCACGCCTGCCACATGCTTGTGAGCATCCTCCAATTCAGAACTACTCTCACCACCAGCAGGAAAAGGGAGCTGGGTTTGTATCATCTTAAAAGCAAAAAAAAACCCAGCCTTGAATAATTACAGCTTTTAACCACTTGTGGTGTAAATTGGTGATAACAATTTTCATTTCTATAAAGAGCTCAGCCCTTGCCTTTCCTCATTTGCCACTTTCCCACTCAGCTGTGTGTTGTCAGATTGTTGAAAATGAAAATAACATCTTGGTAAAATTTCATGGAACTTCCTGCTTGTTGTTTTGGGGGACTCCTTCAGTCGTAGCAGTGCTGGTAACTGAGAGGCTCTTCCAACCCAAACCATTCTGTGATGCCCTGAAGCAGGTGAATATATAAAGAATTTTTTCAGTACAAGATGCACTGCATGTGCTTCAAGTGGAGAGGTGTTTGGGAAGGTCCTTAACACCAGTTCTGTCAGAATAATTGAAATAATGTAAGTTGGTATTCCCTTCTCTTGCTTCATTCTGAGTTCATGCCTCTTACAGCTCATTGCACTTTGCATTTTTGTCAGGATAACCCCAGCCTTAGCAGGTCTGGGGTTTCATCCAAGTCACAGTTTGCACATCCCAATTTTATACTTGCTGTGTTCAAATTTATACCAACAAATTGCAATTTTGGGGGTTTCTTCGTGTATTTTGTTTCAGATACACCACTGGTTCCCCCAGTGGCAAAACAACAATGGAGATATCTAAAGAACTAGGGAATTAAAGGATTTTGTAGTTATTGTACCAAAATCTTGGAAAGCATAGCAGGAGTTTTATCTCACCTGATTTTTTGGAGATCTGAAATGCTGTGTATATATAATGTAGCTATTAAATTATGTATAATGTAAGACTTGGTATGGACAAGCACTTTTAAGCAAAAGATGTGTTTTTCTGCTCAAGTGGAATAAGATGGGGGATTTTTCTTCTTGGTTGCATTTTTAGATTTCAGTGGACTGAATGAAAAATGTCAGTCAATGCCTTCAGTGAAATGAGGGGCTTCCCAATTAAAATTAAGAGCTTTCCTATTTTTTGTCCAAACATGGCATGACAAAGAACTAGAAAAAGTTTTGTTTCCTCATATTTTGGCTGCCAGAAACAGCTTTTCAATTGTGGGTTACACAAAGTCAAGACGAGTCTTGGGATGAATTTTTCAGAACAGTAGGAAACACTGGAAATGCATTTTTCTGTCACCTCCAAAATTTGTTTAGCTAGAAGTAAGAATTGCCTGCCCTCTTAATTAATCACCATTTTCCTGCTTGGCATTTGGGGTATTTCTTTGGGATGCACAGAGTAAGGTGTGAAGAAAAGATCTGACAGCAGGGGGTTAGAAAAAAACAACAAAAATTCCTCTTGTGTGTGTTCAGTTCTGTTTGTTAAGGTGAATGTTTGTTGGAGAGAAGGCAGTCCATACTAATCTAGATTTAAATTACACAGAGCAGTGGCAAAAGAGCTTTGAACCATGTTGGGAAATGGAATTTCCCATCTTGTGATCAGGTTTGCTCCAGTCTCACCCTTTTTGGGGGTGGGTGGGATCCTTCTGGCTCGTGCCCTGGAACTGGGGCTGTTCCAAGTGGGACATTTCCATCTTGGTTTATCTCCCTGATTTTGGAGATGGGAGAAGAGTCAGATGGAAGAGGCACACATAGCTGATGGTGTAGGTGGTTATTAAGGGAGCTGATGTAGTTAGCACGAGATAATTGTTTCTAGGCTCTATTTTTTTTCTCCATGGAGCAGCTCTGAATTCCCAAGGAGGGGCTTTCTTCACTGCTTCATCATCCTTTACCCATCACCATGCTTCTATTTCCTTTGTTTCACATTTCCCTCCTAATTCATAGTGTGTTTTGACTGAAGATTGAGGGATACACCTTTTGAGACACCACATTTTATTTTTCTTTACTCCATGATGTTTTCTTCGAAGGGTTGGCATCTCCACTGACCCTGGAAGACCTCCCAGCTGCGCTTTAGGACAAGACCCACCCCCAGAGCCAAAACCTTCAGGCACAGACACCAGCTGGAAGGTTCTGTTGGGTGTTCCCTTGTCCTAATTGCTGTGTCCTGATTGCAGACCCCGACTGGGCCAGCCTCAACCTGGGAGCCCTCATCTGCATCGAATGCTCAGGAATCCACCGCAACCTCGGCACGCACCTGTCGCGGGTGCGCTCCCTGGACCTGGACGACTGGCCCATCGAGCTCATCAAGGTGATGTCAGCCATTGGCAACGAGCTGGCCAACAGTGTGTGGGAGGAGAACAGCCAAGGCCACGTCAAGCCTTCCTCAGACTCCACCAGGTGGGTTTTTGCTCTCTCCGCCTCGCCCGGCGCGTGACGCTGCCGCTTTTCAATTCTCCCTTGTGGAAAAATCATTATTTATATCCTCACTAAAGCCCAGGAACTACCTGTGTCAGGGTGGGGGGGTGGCAAAAGTTGAGTGACCTCATTACTTTCTTGCCCTTGTGAAGGTTTCCTCAGCAGCTCTGCAGTTTTGTGTTCAGTGGGAGATAGAAACCTGCTTCTTCCTCCACCTAAATTATCCTGTCGTGTCCTCCTTTGTCTCAGTGGGCCACAAAGTTCCTGCCTCTTGGACTATCAGTTTGTCATTAATAATCTCCCTTCAGGGGTTCAGGCTCACTTGGGAGTTTGTACCTGGCTGTCAGGTCTTTGGTTCTGCTCAGGAGTGTTCAAAGTCCTGCTCACCATGGACTTGGTTACTTTTCTGTGTGTGATTTATGTGAAACCATGACTTGCTGGGGGGTATATTTCCTTTGAGAATAGTGTTTCACCTGCCTCTCAGAGAGCCACACACTGAAAATCTTCCTGTGATGTGGTGTTCTACCTAAAACTAGGGGGTTTTATGCTTAATTAATCTGACTGAGGTCAAAGACAGATGTTTTGAGAATACTTTTTCCAGTTTTGGATCAGGTGGAAAGACCACGATGCCTGGGCCACCTCCTGCAGCAGAGGGCTGGGTTTGTGCTGTTGTGTGCAAGAAAGTCAACTGTTTCTTATTGCATTATTTCGTTAGCCCTGAAAAATGAATTTGTGGTGCCACCTTTGGTTCATCTTCGAGAATGAAGCCACTACATTAATCAGGCTACTTAGATGAATGGTTGTGCATTTAAAAGTGCTCCAAGAGCCCCAAAGAGAGGTTTTATTCAGGCAGAAATGGGATGTCTGCTCTGTACCTGTGTATTATTACACACAGTGATTTCATCAAGTAGATTGAAATGAATTTTCAGTCATTACTATCACTTTAATACTGAGATTTTCTATTCTTTCACCTCACAAATATATGTTGCTCCTTACTGCTGAGTTGAGATGGAGCAATAGTTGTAAACACCTGAAAGGAAAATGCTTGCACTCAATTGGAATTCTATTTAAAAAAAAAAAAAAAAGAAAGAAAAATCACATTATTTCAGTAGTCACATAATAAACATCATGAAAAATCTAAAATCCATGTGACTGTGATGAAAAGAGCACCATCCATTTCAATTAATAATGCATTTGGGATTGAATTTTGCTTCTAGAAAATCAACTTTTTTCTCTTAGTGTTTCAGGGCTTATTTTAATATTCCCACTTTGTTTCTGTGCATCTTTATGGTTATATTCAGCTGATTCTGATTGTCACTGATATCACTGCACTTTCTCTCCTCCACTGCAGCATTTTTGGGCAAAAAGATTCATTTTATAAATAGGATTTTCTAGCTCTGTGTCCAGGTTCACGCTTATGTGATAGAAGAGGTGCTAGAAAATGTAGAATTAGGATGATGTGGAAATTTTCCCACAAAGCAATTGCAATCTTGCTTTGCTGTTCCCATTCCTCTGCTCTTTGCAGCAGGGACTGAAATGCAATTTTTCATGTAAATACCAGAAAGTTCTGTTTTTTCCCAGTGTGTGCCTCCTTCTGTGCTTCCCTTTGGTCTCTGCCAGCATCACAGTCCTTCTGTCCACGCTGTGGTGAGAAAATAAATTCAAATTATTCAGGTAGAGGTTCTGCTTTCCCAAAAATCCTTCCCTGGGAGGGTGGATTCCCTGGCACAGGGTGCCCAGAGAAGCTGTGGCTGCCCCTGGATCCCTGGAAGTGTCCAAGGCCAGGCTGGACAGGGCTTGGGGCAGCCTGGGACCGTGGGAGGTGTCCCTGCTCATGGCAGGGGGTGGAACAAGGTGGTCTTGAAGGTCCCTTCCAACCCAAACCATTCTGGGAATGTGATTCTGTGATGGGTCCTTAATGGACACTTTCAGAGGGGATCATGAGTTTCACCTTTTCATGTTGTGTCTTTCTATTGGAGATGAAGCCATTAGTGGAAGCTCACAGATTTCTAGAGACACAAAAAAACCCCAAAAAAGGTAATGAGCTGCTCCACAAATGCTGAATTGTTGGGCTGGGAGGCTCAAGGAGTGTTCACCGACGGGACTAAAATGAACCTGAAAGTCTTGATGTGGCTTTTGAAGCAGTCCCTTCAGCCTGGGAGAGGTTGGCACTGGTCACTGTATGCTTGCAGTGCCATCCTGTGTGTTTCTGTGGAGTAGAGGAAAAGGTGGAGGGATCCATGGAGATGGTTTTTGACAGGAGGAATTGCCAAATTCCTCCAGGTCATGGTGTGATTAAGGAATCTTATCCAGAAGAATATCACCAGTATTTCTGAAACCAGAGCTACACCAGGCTGTGAGTACAGCTTCCCTTTAGTAATTTTGCACACTCAAAAATAAGATATTATCAAATTCAAGACCTTAACATGGCCTGCACTTTCCTCATGAGGGACAGCTCCCATCTCTGCTCTCTGTGTCCAGGAACAGCATCCAAGGGAGTGGCTGGAGCTGTGCCAGGGCAGGCTCAGGCTGGAGAGCAGGGCAAGGTTCTTCCCCAGAGGTGCTGGCACTGCCCAGGCTCCCCAGGGAATGGGCACAGCCCCGAGGCTGCCAGAGCTCCAGGGGCTCCCAGGGATGCCCAGGGTGGGGTTGTTGGGGTGTCTGGGCAGGGCCAGGGGTTGAACTCCGTGACCTTGATCCCTTCCAGCTCAGGATATTCTGTGATTAAACCACTGCCATCCTTTTCTAGCCCACCAAATGCACTTCAAATTCATCATCCAAGCAAATCATGGGCAAAGATAAACCTGGACACCTATTTTGAAGGCCAGAAAGGTTCTGAGATTGGAGGGTATGTAAAATTCAAAGCCTTTAGCAAAGGGCATTATCCCTCCTGCATTGCCCAGGGATATATCGCTCAGGTATATCCTCTAATATTAATTAATATATATTAATATTAATAAATTCCAGGTCATGGCAGGATGGAGAGACAAGCAACCTGCTCTGGTGGAAGGTGTCCCATGGCAGGGGGTGGGATGAGATGCACTTTAAGGCCCATTCCAACCCAAAGCATCCTGGAACTCTTCAGGCAGATCTCCAGGTCATTCAGTGCCCCTGTAAGTGAAAAGCAACAGCCAGGATGGCCCCTGGCCCTGAACTGGAAGGTTTGGGGAGCACAGGCGTGGTGGGATCCCCAAGGAAGCAGCACAAGGCAAAGCTGAGGGTGTTGCTGGGATTTTGGGGAGGAAGAAGGAATAAACAGCAGCTCCGGTGAGCGCGAAAAGTTGGGGAAGCGTCGGGAAACCCAAGCCCAGGCAAACACTGGAGTGTGGAAGGGAACAGGGACCAGCTGGGCCCTGAGCTGCGGTGTCCGTGGGTCCCTGATTAGGTCAGCTCTGGAGAGCTGGTAATTGGTTCCAGCAATTACCAGCAGCCCCGAGAATGCCGCTCAAACTTCGGGAGGCCTGTGACAAATTGAAGCTGACTGCTGGTGAAGGAGTATCGACTTCCCATTCCTAAACAGGGGAATCATTAGTCAAGAAAAGCATCTTTTAATTACTCGCAGGAAGAAAAAAAAAGAAAAAGAGTGAGAAAAGGAAAAAGATCTTTCAGTATGGATCCTGCAACAACCGCCAGGTTTTTTTTTCCAAGTGTATTCAATATTAAATTTATTGTCTTGGAGGGGAGGGGGCGAGCGGGGGGAGCTTGCCTGCGGTCCCTCCTTGGGTAATGCGGGTTTAATTTGGAGTGAGAAGTCAAATTAGAGTAAATCAATGTTGCGACAATTAACTGGAGCTGGGGATGGGATCAGGATTTTCCCTCTAATTGCTATTGATACTGTTTAAGCACATTCTCACAACGCTGCTTTGGAGTGCTGCAGCACTGGAGGTGCCCTGTGGGGCTGAGCAGCTCCATGGAGGAATGTTGGAGATGTGGGGATGCCAGCTTGGGAATTCTTTGCCTTTTGCACTCCTACCAGATATTTAGCTTTTTCTGGACACACCTCACTCGTTTTGCTTTCTCCTCACACTCATGTGGCTTCTGGTTTGCAGACTCACTTGCCGCCATTGACTTCCCAAGGTGGTGTTGGCCTTTTCCAGAGGATACAAGCTGCCCCCATCCCTCTCCAGGGGGGATGGTTATCTGCTCCCTCCTTCCCTGAGCTCCCAAGGACTCCACCTCTGTCTCCCTGGGAGTGTTGGGATGGATGTGCCACCTCCAGCAGCTGGAAGTTGGCGGCAAAGCCGAGGGAAGGCAGGGTCATATCCAGGGACCATCCCAGCCACGCTTCCTGTTGTGCTGCTCAAACAGGGCCAGATATCTGTGTCAGCTACACACAGATCGGGCTCCACCATTGCATCATCTCTTGGAGAATATTCACAAACAGCTGGAATGTCTGACTCCATTAAAACTGTGAATTTTAAGCTCTTTTAGTGGGGCTTGGAGCACGAGCAGCAGTTGTGCTCAGGTCTGTTTGCTCAGCAGTCTCTGTTTGTTCTGGGTACCAAAGGTTACAGGGGAATCCAACACGGGCTGAGCAGGCACGAGCTGGGAGCTGGCGGTGTCGGGAATTGACTCTCACCTTCCAAGGGAAGATCTGGTTTGATCCTTGCTCACTAATGAACTCAGTTTAATGGTGTCAGGGATAACATTACACAGCTGCACTGTATTGAGCTGAGTTCTACAGTCCTGCACCAAAGCCTGGCTTGCGCTGCCCTGAGGAGAGCGGCCGTGATGCCAAGCTGCTCACTGGGGAGTGACTTGGATGAAAAATATTGCACCATGCCTTCCATGAAAACATTAATCCTTTTCTTTGTAAAAATAATTAATCCTTCATCATAAATAAAGGGCGAGCCCAGGGAAAGAGAGCTCCTGCATCCTGGATCTTGCAGAGCTGCTGTGTTCCATCTCTCCCTCAGCCCTTGCTCCTTTTGGCCATCAGTTTGTGGTGCTGCTGCTCCCAGATTCCTGGCAGAAGGAATGAA